GCGAAGACATAAAATCGAGAGGAAGAAGCTGGATTAGAGAGAGCGTGTACACAGTAACTATTTATCCCCCGCGCGGACCCCCATTGGCCGGAGCGGCGGAGAATCCATCATTTTGTCTTGTGTGCGGCGCCTCCAGTCAGTCCGCGCCCGCCCGCCCTGACGGATGGCCGGCCCGCGCGCACCCTACCAGAAACACTTTTGTCGACTCTTGTATCACAATATTATCTTCCCTTTTTTTCTGTCCCTTTTCTCTTTTTACGTCTTCGGGGAGGTTTGTTTGTTTGTTGGTGTCGTGGGAGAGGAATGTATGTTTTTTTTTTCTCTATTCAAGGAAAGGGGATGTATTGATATTTTAGCAGGCTGAGGGATGAGTGGAGGGACTGTTTGGATGTAAATTTGAAAATATTGATATATACATGTATCCGTGAATAAATTTCTGTTGACACAGAACACAAACATATACACACACACACACACACACACACACACACACACACACACACACACACACACACACACACACGAACACACACACACGAACACACACACACACACACACACACACACACCTATATATATATATATATATATATATATATATATATATATATATATATATATATATATATATACATATATATATATATATATATATATATATTTATTTATTTATATGTATATATATATATATATATATATATATATATATATATATATATATATAGAGAGAGAGAGAGAGAGAGAGAGAGAGAGAGAGAGATCCAATGCAGGTATGCACACACACGTATATACATGCCTATAGATAAAGAAAAGAATAAATAAATAATATATACATGTTTGTATATATATATATATATACACACACATATGCATATATCCGTGTATGTTTGTCGGTGTGTGTTCTTTTAAATAGAGAGTGATGTGCTGCGGGCAAGCTATTCGAAAGAGCCAGGTTGAAATAAGTCTACGGACACCGCGCGCCAGAGTTCAGTTACATGTAAAGATAAAAGGCCCAATCTAGCTTCAGCACGAATAGCTTAGTTCGAAGGTCATTTATTCAGATGATTGTGCTATTACTTACGTGATCAAACCCTTCATGCACGATACGAGAATATTAAGGACTGTTTTATTGAAAGTGATATCTTTGAAGCTCACGCGGTCTGTCCATTAGTATAAAATATGACATTTCTTACATTTGATTTTTTTTAACAAATGTATAAGGCAGCATTCTGTGTCTATCAGTCTTTATCCGTAAATAATATCCTTTTTTTAATGTATTCAGAATAGGAACGCCAAGTATTATTCACATGCCTCATTCCGCTAAATATGCCGGTCAAACTGAGCAAAAATCTTTTCTTTTATTTATCATTATCACTATTACTATCGTTATTATAATTATCATCATTATTATTACTATTATTATGATGATTATTTTATCATTACTTTTATTTTCGTTATTATTTTCTTATTATTATTATAGTTATTATTAAGTAAGTAAGGCTTTATTAGATCTCTCAAAGGAATCTAAGAGACAGTTATAGATACAGGGGAGGTAGGCGGGAAGGGGAGGGAGGGGGTGATGGAGGAAGAGAAGAGAAAGGGTGATGAAGGAAGTGAAGGGAGACAGCGGTAGATGGAAGAAGAGAAGAGAGGAATTGAGGAAGATAAGAGAGGCAAGAAGCAGCGTGATGGAGATAGCTGAGGGAGGAAGAGAGTGATGAAGAAAGAGGAGATTGAAGGAGAGGGGAAGGGCGGGGGAGGGGGGTGGTGTTGGAGATCCCAGAGCGAGCAAGTCGAGGAAGTTAGTCGCTAATGATGGTCATCTAGGCTTCGTCATCCCGGTCTTTATGCTCTGTAATGATGACTTAATACCGAGTCGCGATGGTTATTAAGGCGACAGGGGAATTACATACACAATCAGGCACTCACGCACGCACGCACGCACGCACGAATCCACGCGCGCTAGGTTTTACGTACTCGGATATGTAAATACAAACACATTAGCGCACGCACATACGATGTCATGCAACCATACACGCTCAATGTACGTACACGTTTTAGATTTACATAGGCTTACATATATGTAGTGTTCATGACATGATTTTATGTCGGGATATATAATCACACAGATATTTGAATATATATTAGCATAAACAAGGTATAACTAGACTGAAATGTAGGAAATTAAATAGAAAACACTTCTTTTGACAATGAAAAAAATATATATATACACATAAAAAGGATACCGCTCCTCATAATTTCATTAACAAGTATTCACATCTCGTCCCCCCTAAGCATCGAATAAAAATCCAACCTTTACATATATATATATATATATGAATGGAAAAAAGGTAAAAAAAAGTAAAAAAAGTACATCAAAGCTCTGGCCAGCGACAAACATCACCTACTCTCGCTCCCAAAAAACCTATTTATTCGCCACATAAAATAAAACGCCAGCATTTGAAAATTGAGTTACGTATAACCATTTCATATATAAAAG